TTTTTCCCCCCCTTAATTTAAGTCACTTTGTTAAATTTATTATATAAATATATAATTTTACTCTTAATTTATTATTGGATTAATATAAACTTTGGTCCTTCAAGTTTACTTTCATTTTGGTTTTAGCCCCTCAAGTTTTAAACTATAAATTTTGGTCTCTCAAGTTTCTTTTCATTTAAAATATTGGTCCCTATAATCTAATAAAAATTTGGACTATTTTGCTTTTTAAGAAACCAAAACCTATATTTTGAAATTTGAGGGACTAAAACCAAAATAAAGGCAAAATTGAGGAACTAAAAATTATATCAATCATCTATTATTTTATAGTTTGCAATTTTCTCCAAAAAAAAAAAATTAAATTGGAGTAAAATTGAAAATTTATTAAATGTTAAGACGAGTTAACAAGATCTTTCTTTTTCCAATAAAACATATTCGGATTATCTTATACATATTTTCAGCGACAAAATAGTAAATACTTAACATGATAAAAGAATGGTTGTGAAGTTGAACACACTTGGAAAAAACTGGAAAAGCGAAAAGGAGAGAATCACTGGCCATGTATCTGCATCATGGGAACCCGGTCGAAAATGTCATTGTACTCCTCGTATGTGTTTGACTCGGAGTGGATTTGTCCGGTTCAATGTAGCTATACGGTCATACGTTGCATGTAGAAAAAAGGGAGGACGGGACGGAGAAAAGATGAGAGGATCAGAAAAATAAATTTGGATTTGTTAGCTGCATGAAGAAAAAGAAGACACAAAGCAGTTAAGGAAATCAATCACCGGAAGAGGGGCAAGAAGAAAAAGGAAGAAAAAAGGTGGTCCACAGCCGTAAGTCATGGCTTGATGAAGCACTTTTTCTTCTTCACAACAAAATCATGTTTTGTTACAAAAGCCTTCTCTTCTTTGGGACCCTTCAGTCTTCACACTCTTTGCTTTCTCAACTTGTCCTTCCATGGCGGAACGAGCTCTTCACTCCTCATTTTTCTTCTTCAGTATCATCTTCCTCAGCTTCTTCCCCTCCGCATTACTGCTTCTTAACCCAGAGGATCATGAACCTGGCCTCGCCGTCCAAGCCGACGACATCAACATTGTCCAGACCCGTGGAGATTTATGGAAGAAAAAATGTGACTTCTCCGTGGGAAAATGGGTTTACGATCAATCTTATCCTCTCTACGATTCTAGCTGTCCCTATCTGAGCACTGCCGTTACTTGTCAGAAGAACGGACGTCCTGATTCGGGTTATGAGAAGTGGAAGTGGAAGCCAAACGGTTGTTCTATCCCAAGGTATCTTTCTGTTCACATCACTATAACTGTTTGCTTAAATGCTCGATTGAACAGTTGCATTGTTGCTGCTTTGCTAGTTTGTCTGAAAATTCAGCCATTGCTCAAAACTTTTAGCATAGTGTACAATCTAATTGCTATATATTTTGGTATTTGATCGAGAGTTGACAATAAGAAGAAATGGAGAAACCTGTAGCAACTCGGTTTTAGTTTGCAGAGGTTGGGAGGATCAAAGCTCATAATTCTCATTTTTTCCCTCTAATTATCTGTGTTCAAAGCTTCTGGTTGAGACATGGGAATCTCGTGAAAATACAAGGCTGTAAATCAGTTTCATGCTAATGTCTAACTTACAAATGTGGCATCTTGGTAACACAGATTTGAGGCATTGAGGTTTCTTGCTAAAATGAGAAGGAAGAGAATAATGCTGGTGGGTGATTCTATCATGAGAAACCAATGGGAATCTCTTGTTTGCTTAGTACAAGGAGTTATTCCAACTGCTAGGAAGAGGGTAACCTACAATGGTCCTTCAATGGCTTTCCATGCTATGGTAAGACATCGATCAAACATTCTCTTTTTCCTCTCTAGTACTATAAGTGATTGATCCTGTAATTCTCACCGACAGGATTTTGAGACTTCAATTGAGTTCTTCTGGGCACCATTGTTGGTAGAACTCAAACGAGGGGCTGGAAAAAAGAGAATTTTGCATTTGGACTTGATTGAAGAGAATGCAAGATATTGGAAAGGAGCTGATGTTCTCGTGTTTGATTCAGCTCATTGGTGGACTCACTCTGATCAAACTAGCGCGTAAGAAAGCTTTCTCATAATCTCAATTTTCCCATTGAATTCTGCTTCTCAAGTTTTCTTTCCTTAAGTTCAGCTTCAGTTATCTATAAACATTGGTCTCTTCAACTTCTTCACCTTGAATGGTCGCCAAATTCAACATCCCAATAATCAAATCTTTTTTGACATAATCAGATGGGATTATTACATGGAAGGAAACAGTTTGATTCGAAACATGAACCCCATGGTTGCTTATCAGAAAGGACTCAGTACATGGGCAAAATGGGTGGATTTAAACCTTGATCCTCGTAAGACCCGAGTCATTTTCCGAAGCATGTCCCCAAGGCATAACAGGTACGAGTTACTCTCATTTGCCTCATATTTCACCTTGATCATCTCTTTCCTGTTAAAGATCACAGACACAACTCGAATAGAATACAAATCGGATAATTTACATCATCCATTCAAAAAATAACACCAAAAGTAAAACGGCGTATAGTTTACTTTACATCTTCACATCTTCACGCGCATTACTTTCCTATATATATATATATATATATATAAATATCATGCCACTGTCCAGATGCAATTAAAACTATCGTATTATACTTGATGGGAGTGTCAGACGTGCAAAATGATTCCAATATTTGCTGTACTCTGCTTTTCTGGATCATGGATTTTTCATGTGCAGGCAAAACGGATGGAAATGCTACAACCAGAAGCAGCCTCTGCCATTTTTCAGTCACCAGCATGTTCCTGAACCACTTTTAGTTCTACAAGGAGTGTTGAAGAGAATGCGTTTTCCAGTATATCTTCAGGATATTACAACAATGACAGCTTTCCGAAGAGATGGGCATCCTTCAATTTACAGAAAGTTGATAACCCAAGAACAGAAGCAGAAACTAGAAGGAGTTTCCTCCGATTGCAGCCACTGGTGCCTCCCTGGGGTTCCTGATATTTGGAATGAGATGTTGAATGCAATGCTCTAACTGTGGTCGACCTTTTCTGTGGTTTTTAAGTTTAACCAGTACAGTTCAACTACTCCAGGTCAGGATTTATCTTTATCATCTAGCTGGAGCCTCTCAAGGTTGGTCTGCTCTTGCTGGTACATTGGCTGATTTGGGTTTTCTATTTTTAGTTAATGTTATCATATGGATAACACTATGCTTGGATTTGTCAATCTAATTTTCACAAGCTGCCAAAGTATCTTCTCTTGTCATTTTGGAGCAAATGTTACATTTCATATATCTTCATGAGTGTGATGTAAGTAGAGTGGTGGATTTATTTATCATAAGTTACAAGCTTGTGAAATGTTTTAAAAGTAAGAGACATTTAAAGAAAAAGAAAATTGCATATAAAAAAGTGAGTTTCATACACAAATTAACATTGAAAAAGGCAATATATCCCTGGAAAGTCTTTGTTACCCTTTTTTTTTTTTTAGCGAAAAGGAAAAGAAAAGAAGGGTTAAAAATCAGTATTTGATTGGTGAAAGAGAATCAAAGAAAATGAATAAAAGAGAAGAGTCAATCAATCACTTTTTGAAGTTGATGACGCCTAAGATCACGGTTAGTTTGGTCCTCCAAGCTAAGAAATGGCACCAAGATGCGCATGGGAGACTATAAAGTCAGTCAAATAAGTGCAACAACCACATGTCCAACAAACACAATAGCATCATGCACCACAATAGCTTTTAGAGCAGTTGCCAACCCCCTTGAAATGATGTTGTCTTTTTGTTTTTTTGGCCTCCGAAATCATGTTCTCGATTAAAGGCACATTCATAGTATTAGCATCATATTTCAAATTCTCCAAATTATTGAAGTGTGAATTTGATTCAAGGGCGGATTATGGGAGACTCTCAATAACATAAGTACAGCCCAATTACTAGAATCACAAATTGACATGGCTAGATGTAGAGGATATTTGGATAGAAAGCAAGCAATGATTTTAGAAGTAATTTTATGATATACGAAATAAATATGTAAAAAAGTTTATTTCGATTATGAAAAAATGCTTTTAAAAAACACTTCTCCTAATTCCCAAACACCCTCATAAACTAGAATCACAAATTGGATTCACTAATTAATTGGTCTTAATGTTAATCATTTTCTTAAATTTATTTATGACTAGAAATCTAGAATCACGCAAAACTTAAAAAGGAAAAATCTGCATGTTCCAATAGTTTCATTCACGTGATTTTTAATAAGACTTTTGTAGTTTTTCTATGAAGTCCCTATAATTTTATCTAACTTTCTTCATAATTTATATTATATCTATAGTTTCACTTGATTTTTAATAAGGTCTTTATAGTTTTCAAGTAACTCCTAAAAAAACTATAGTACGTGATTAAAAATTAGTTGTAACTATAAGGATAATAAGATATGATAAAAATAAACAAACTATTGGAATCTAACCAAGCAAAACTACAATAATCTAATTAAAAAAAATGCAAGAATTTGATCAAAAGTTAAGTGAAATCAAAAAGCACAGATTAATTTTTCCAAACATTAATTTTATTATTATTATTACTACTACTACTGCTACTTTTTTGGGTGAGATATTATTATTACCACTGCTATTATTTTATAGTTTAAAATATCCATCTCTCTCCCTCCCTCCCTCCCTCCCTCTGACTTTAAACTTTAAAGAAGTCTTGCTCTGTCCTGTTATTCAGAAGGCAAGTGATCATCTTCCACCCAACACAAACACAAAAAGGAAGGACCAGTCTGGAAGTGGAAGACAGTTATGGTAACTTCGCAATGCAGCAAGATCAAATTATTTGAAATTTTGAATGGCATACAAACATTCAAATATACTTCCTCTGGCGAGCTCTTTTACAAATAATCATTATCAAGAATTGCTATGAAACATATTTTGTACTGTGTAAGATTCAGATCATCATTCCTGAAGCAACTTCTCTTTTGTTTTTCCCTCTCTGGCTTCCATCAAAACAATGAACAGATTATATTATAATATCTCTAAGAAGCAACAACACTTACCTTATACTTTCAGATTTCAGATTCACACAACACTTCATGATTATTTTTTAATTCAATACACATTTCTGTTTCCGTGTGTTTGTGTGAAGAATTGATGCGTGGCTACGCAAATCAGCTAGAAGAAAACCTTTTCCGTAACTTGTAAAGCTCCTTGGGGTTCAACCCAAAAGCCTTTTCCAGAAGCTCCATCTTGATTCCAGATCCAAAAACTGCACTAGGGATCTTCTGCAACCCAGGATTCTGGCTATCGAAGCTGCCCAGGATAGCCGCCGGCGAATCTCCGACGTTCATCTGGAAATGAAGCAGACCCCTTGGGAACACCATGACCTCTCCTTTCTCAATTACTTTCGCGAAAATCTTATTGTTCGTGTCAATGAATCCAGAATAAACCTTACCTTCAAGCACGTAAGCGATTTCCGTTGCCCTAGGATGGAAATGAGGCACATTGACGCCTCCAACATCGAAATCGGCACGCACGAACGACATTCCGAGAGTGTTGAGACCTGGAAAGAGCTTGTAATTCACAGCCGTGGCAGAAAACCCAGATTCCTTGAAGTTGCCGGGAAACTTTATTCCGGAAAATGTGAAGTCGTGGACTGTGGCTAAAGATGCGTTTTTGCAGGAGAAGGGGTTGGATGGTGAAACGGGTAAGCAGAAATCCATGACTGGATCTGAGTCAGAACCAAAAGCAACAATGAATTGAAGCAGGAAAAGAACTAACAGAGCCGTAATCTTCATTGCTAGTGTCGGCAATTTGAAAATGGCCCGTGAAAGAAATACAAGTTTGGCTCACAAAGATGGTGATTCAAACTGAGCTGAGACGACTACTGGTTGATTAGTGCGTCAATTATTGGGGAATGAATCTACTTATAGACTATAGTGAGAGGAACTGTTTGTTTGGATTGCAAGAAAGAGCCAAAGAGGGGCTAGAACTAGATGTACCAACTCAGCTCAGATTGAGTTGTTCCCTTCTCTTTTGAATTGATTTTAATATTGCTTAAAGCACACCTATCACATTGGCATCCCGGGGACCAATCGAGACATATCTCTATCTTTATCTTTATCTTTAGTGCTTGAAATTATTAGGAATTTGGTGGAGGGAAATGTATTCAAAATGATAAAGAAGAAAGAGTATTAATTGCTTGTTAGTTTGAGTAATGAATTTGATGTGAAAATCAAGTATCAAAGTAGTTGCAAAAGTCGACTCCTCTTTTTCGGAAGATGTACTTCAAGTATATTTGAGAGAATAAATCCTTTCTTACTGGTTCTAATATGGAAAAAAGACAGAAAAATGCAACTCCAACTCTAAAAGCCCAGAAACGTCCGTCCAATTCCACAAATCCCATTTTGGTACCATGAGACCAAATTGGGATTATTATGTGAAAGGAAAAGACCACATTGCCCTTCATTTTAAATATTATTTTTAAAATATCACAGCCCCTACTGGCCGGCCGGTCACCGGACCTCCGGTAGCGGCGGTCACCGGAGCTCCGGTGACCAGCCGACAATTGGTCACCGGAGCTCCGGCGGTCGGAATTTTTTTTTTGAAAATTTTTACAACTTCAATATAACGGTTAACAACTTTTGTAATGCTATTCACAACTTCAGTATAACAATTAACAACAGCTTTTCTGGAAAATTCAACAAACTCCGACGACCGGAAACAATTATTTTGAAAATTTTTACAACTTCAATATAACCGTTAACAACTTTTGTAATGCCATTCACAACTTCAATATAGCAATTAACAACAGCTTTTTTGGGAAATTCAACAAACTCCGGCGACCGGAAATAATTTTTTTGAAAATTTTTACAACTTCAGTATAGCGGCTAACAACTTTTGTAACCCTATTAACAACTTCAATATAGCGGTTAACAACAACAAACTCAAGCGACCGGAAACAATTTTTTTGAAAATTTTTACAACTTCAGTATAGCGGTTAACAACTTTTGTAACCCTATTAACAACTTCAGTATAGCGGTTAACAACAGGTTTTTGAGTTTGTTAAAGGCATTACTGAAGTTATAAAAATGTCACTTTTTGAATTTAAAAACTTGTTGTTAACTGCTATATCAAAGTTGTTAACCGTTATATTGGAGTTGTAAAAATTTTCAAAAAAACGTAATTGTGAACGTTATACTGAAGTTGAAAATTTTTACAACTCCAATATAACCGTTAACAACTTTTGTAATGCCATTCACAACTTCAATATAGCAATTAACAACAGCTTTTCTGGGATATTCAACAAACTCCGGCGACCGGAAACAATTTTTTTGAAAATTTTTACAACTTCAGTATAGCGGTTAACAACTTTTGTAACCATATTAACAACTTCAGTATAGCGGTTAACAACAGGTTTTTGAGTTTGTTAAAGGCATTACTGAAGTTATAAAAATGTCACTTTTTGAATTTAAAAACTTGTTGTTAACTGCTATATCAAAGTTGTTAACCGTTATATTGGAGTTGTAAAAATTTTCAAAAAAACGTAATTGTGAACGTTATACTGAAGTTGAAAATTTTTACAACTCCAATATAACCGTTAACAACTTTTGTAATGCCATTCACAACTTCAATATAGCAATTAACAACAGCTTTTCTGGGAAATTCAACAAACTCCGGCGACCGGAAACAATTTTTTTGAAAATTTTTACAACTTCAGTATAGCGGTTAACAACTTTTGTAACCATATTAACAACTTCAGTATAACGGTTAACAACAGGTTTTTGAGTTTGTTAAAGGCATTACTGAAGTTATAAAAATGTCACTTTTTGAATTTAAAAACTTGTTGTTAACTGCTATATCAAAGTTGTTAACCGTTATATTGGAGTTGTAAAAATTTTCAAAAAAACGTAATTGTGAACGTTATACTGAAGTTGAAAATTTTTATAACTCCAATATAACCGTTAACAACTTTTGTAATGCCATTCACAACTTCAATATAGCAATTAACAACAGCTTTTCTGGGAAATTCAACAAACTCCGGTGACCGGAAACAATTTTTTTGAAAATTTTTACAACTTCAGTATAGCGGTTAACAACTTTTGTAACCCTATTAACAACTTCAGTATAGCGGTTAACAACAGGTTTTTTCAACCGCTATACTGAAGTTGTTAATAGGGTTACAAAAGTTGTTAACGGTTATATTGAAGTTGTAAAAATTTTCAAAAAAATTGTTTCTGGTTGCCGGAGTTTGTTGAATTTTCCAGAAAAGCTGTTGTTAATTGCTATATTGAAGTTGTGAATGGCATTACAAAAGTTGTTAACGGTTATATTGGAGTTGTAAAAATTTTCAAAATAATTGTTTCCGGTCGCCGGAGTTTGTTGAATTTCCCAGAAAAGCTGTTGTTAATTGCTATACTGAAGTTGTGAATAGCATTACAAAAGTTGTTAACCGTTATATTGAAGTTGTAAAATTTTTCAAAAAAAAAAATTCCGACTGCCGGAGCTCCGGTGACCAATTGTCGGCTGGTCACCGGAGCTCCGGTGACCGCCGCTGCCGGAGGTCCGGTGACCGGCCGGCCAGTAGGGGCTGTGATATTTTAAAAATAATATTTAAAATGAAGGGCAATGTGGTCTTTTCCTTTCACATAATAATCCCAATTTGGTCTCATGGTACCAAAATGGGATTTGTGGAATTGGGCGGACGTTTTTGGGCTTTTGGAGTTGGAGGTGCATTTTTCTGTCTTTTTCCCTTCTAATATTGGATGATGATCATTGTTGCTACTATATAATAGTGCATGTTTGGAGCCACGTTTAAGTAGCTTTTAAGTAGCTTTTGGTTTTTAATACATTTGAATGTATTTGGAAGCGTTTAAAAAATTAAGAGCTTATGCTAAAATCACGTACTTAAACCAAAAGCTATAAATTGCCCTTTACAGAGTTGAAAAAGTGGAGAGAGAAAGACAAAATGTAGGTCTCATTTCTTTTACTCAAATAAATTTATTTTTACTCAATCATAATCAAAATAACTTTTTACTAATATCACTTTTATAAACTAACTTTTTTAAACACAATTCACTTTATCCAATTTAACTTTTACCAAATCTTATTTTTCTAAAAGTCAGATTAGAAATAAACTGATTTTTCTACTGCGAATCCAAACGGACCCTTAACTTTTTAACTCATCAAGCTTAGAAAAGTACAAGTTATTATTATAAATTTTATTATATATTGATATATTTTAATATAGATAAAAAGTATGAAATATGAAAGGAAAAATTATTCTTTTAGTTCTTTAACTTTTAATTTACTTATAATTCAGTCTCTCAACTATGACTCGTTGCGACTCAATTCCTCAACTTTTAACCCGTTTATAACTCAGCCTCTCATCTTATTTTTCAAAAAATGATTTTTATCGTTAATAAATTAGCCCAACTCATCCAACCTGTAGAAAAACCTTATTAACTCCGTTAATGATTGCTTATGTGGGTGCCAAGTCAAAGTCATGTGGAATTCATTTAAGATTTTAAAAAAAATTCAATTAAGGTAGGATTTTCAAAAAAAAAACAAGAAAGTGAAATAGAGGTGACATAGTAAAGACTACAACCAGAGAAGCGAAGAAAAAGGGGATAGGCAGAGGAAATACTAATTCAGACAAAGTGTAATGTAGACGCTACAGACGAAAACTCCCCACTATGAAAAAGACATACGGACACAAAGGACAACAAAGAAGAGAAAGCCAGAAAAGAAGAAGATTAGATGAAGAAGAAGATAAGACTTTAGAAGACTGCAAAGGAGTATTGGCAAGTGAAAATTATCTACTTTGTAGTAGTTTATCTATGTGCTTTATGCATTATAGGGAAAAATAATTCGCTAGTCCTTATAATTTTACCAAATTTTGAATCAAGTCCTTGTAATATTTTTTCTTTTTATTCAATCCTTATTGTTTGCACAGTTATCAGCACAAGTCCTTTTGTTTATAAAAATTCCAAGATTCCGTTAGTTTCCTTTGAGATGGGTGATGTGGTCCTTTGACAAAGGACCTACACTGATTTTCTAGAGTGATTGAGTACCATGTCCAATCCCTTCCCCTCAAAATGCAGCATTACAATTGGAATTTTTTGTTCATTCTTCACCTTCTCCATAAAACGGCAGGGTCCGAATCCTATTTCGTCTTCAATCTCACTCGCATGTTGTGAACTTGTTCGTCTTGGCAATTGAACTTGGCCACCATCAAGTCATATACGCTCACTAGCAATAGTGTGAATGGCATGTTGGAGCCAACAACCATACTGTCATTTCCCCTTTGGTCTAACCTCCTCAACATCTTCGATGTTGGAGTAGTTTTCTTCCCCATGAAGATTCTAGACCAACAATGTAAAATAAAGGTGTTTTGGATTTTCAAGCATCAGTGTGTATACAAATTGAACCAGTTCCCTATCAGTTCTCTCCTCGTCCTCCTCTCGTAATTGGAAAGAGAACGTCGCCAATTGAGCAGGAAGAGATAGCAATCCGTGATCGAATCTAGTGACTCCAACGAGTTTGTCGAGTGTGGTGTGCACACATTCAAAGGTGAAATTCTTGAGAATCAAAAAACACAGAGACAAAATCGTGAATCTGATAGAGACAAGCAATCAAGCTTCCAAGTTCCATCGACACACACGTGGCAAAACAGAGGGCAAGTGAAAGAAGAACAATTGTAGGTCTTAATGGATTCCAAGAGACACCAAGAAATTGCACAAAGATTGGAGGACAAGGGGGAAGTGTGAGCAGTGGTACGTGCAGGGTATTTATACTGAAGGGTGATGACTTGC